TCCAAGCCCCATTGAGCGGTGCAGGGTTCCTGGCAGAGTGATTCTCAGGGCAGGGGGAATATAGCAGGGACCTGGGTCCTAACAACTTGCCCCAGGTCCAGGCCACCCCAGTGGGGGCCCCTGCAGAGCCAGGACTGTATGTTTCTTGCTGAAGTTTACGAGAGGTCATGTCTTTCTGGAAGAAGGCAAGGGGAGGGTGTTGGGGGCAGAACAGCCTTTGTTCTGCTAAAAATGCCTTCGGTCTTTGGCCCTGCCTCACTGGGAGCATAAACAATGTCAGGACGGGCCCTTCCAGGAAGTGCTCCTCACTGCTGCCCGCTGTCCACTGACTGGCCTGTCTTCCCTTATCTACTGCCTCTTCCTCCTTGCTCAGTGGGCCACCTACCCCTCTGTCCTGCAGCGGGCAAGGCCAAGGCCCAACCCTGGCCTGGCCTGGGCTAGAGGCCCTAAGAATGTTCTCCAAAATTCCTGCCTGGAGATCTTGCCTTCCAAGAGCAGGCTGTGGCTTCACTGCATGGGGGACACACGTGGGGGGGTTTGACAGAAGGGGCAAGCCAGGTGGAAGAGCCTTACCTCTTCCAAAAAGGATGCTTGTAGGCAAGTCCTGTCTCTGCCCTGTGCCTCAGTGTCACCAGCTGTCAAGGCAGTCGACACTGTTCCCTGCCCCCCAGTGCTCTGGAAAGAGCTGCATGGCACTGGTGGTCAGGGAGCCCCACCAATTCAGTCTCTTTCCCTCTTTCCTTGTCCTCTGCCAGCACATCTCCAAGCTTCCTCTTTCTTGGTTCTTCCACGAGAATACCAGAAGGTGAAGACACCTAATGCCACCCCTTCAACCCTGGGATAAACAGCCCACCTGCTACCCAGGTGTCCCCCCTGTCTCTGGAACCTTCCTCTTAGGTGCAGTCCGCAGATCTCGGTCCTGGCTTCTGTATCATCTGCAAAGCCTCAGCTCCCCCTGTGCTGCCGAGGGAGTGGGACTGAAAGAGCCGATGTGGCCAGGCCCTGCGGTGTGCCAGGACTCTGAGCTGAGACCATCACATGCCTACAGCCTCCCCTGCACTTGGGAGGCTGGCTCTCCATCATCATCCAGTTTCTAGATGAGGAAACCGAGGCACAGAGATGTTGAGTGACTTGCAGAGTATTCCCCCAACATAGTCACATGTGGAGCCAGCTTGTGACATTGGCATCTGGCCCTGGAGTCCAGGATCTGAGACACATCCAGAGTGATGGGGTGTCAGTGCAGGGTCCTCCCAGGGCCTGGCCTGATGGTCATGGGAGCAGCAGGCCAAGGATGCCTGGGCCTGCGTGAGGCCAAGGGCCCTCGACCTGCCTACTGGAAGGGCTGCATATCTACGTCAGAAGTGAGGCCTGCTTCTCCCTTGGTCCACACTCTGCACCCCATTATCTGTGTGGTTTCTTTCCCACTCATTTCTGAAGCAGAAACTCCCCGGGGCTAAAATTGATGGTCTCTCTCTGATCCTGCAGTCTTCATGCTTTGCTCTGCTGAGTGTCCTAGGTGACCTGACCTCTCTCCTCTGGTACCTTGACTCTTTCCCTTTGCCCTGACTGTGTGAGGCCAGGCACCAGGTCCTGTCGGCTCTGTGAGTCAGGAGGCCCACAGAACAGATTCCTGCAGAAGCAGGCCAGGCTGGGGATGTGCCCCAAATTCCCATCTTCATCAAGGAGTCTCAGACACCCCTGTTCCCTTGTCCCCCTTAACATGTAGGTGCTTCTAGGAGCAGAGAGGAGAGCCAGCCGACAAGGGATCTTACTGCAGAATGGCAGGAGAGGAGAAGGGAGGCTGCTCAGCGCTATGAGTACCAGGCCCCAGTGGAGAAGGTGGCCCTGGGAGGGTCAGAGGGACACCCCCTAACCTGAGAGCTACAGAGATCAAGGTGCCACCAGAGACTCAGGTTAACCCCTCTATCATAAACCCAGCAGCCTGACTGCAGACTGAGCCTTCTCCCCAGGGTAGCCCAGCTGCTACAAGGTCCAGTGAGGATCCCAGGGGCAGAAGGCAGTGGACCCAAATCAGGGCAGTGTTGCTGTCACTTTCTAAGTTTAGATTTACATACTCAGCACATATATCCCTCTTCAGTATTTTACGTGAAATCCTAGTAGGCCATCACAAGTGGTACCGTGGCTCCTGAAATTTAAAAATATATATAGAAAAATTTCAAAAACATGATTGCCAGAGGAAGAAGTTATTATTTTATATGCCACTGTTGTTCTGTATTAATCCACAATAATCACAGTGCTAATGCTCCTGTTTTACCTTCAGCCTGCCCTGCACTGTTCTTAGAGTCTGTATTATCAGAAAATCCTCAGAAAAGTCTTCAGTGATCATCACAATGCTTATCCTTATTAAGTAACTTTCCCAGGATCACAGAGCTTGGGTTTGGATCCAGTCTGTGCTCTTAACCACAACGCACTACTTAGAATTTGGGCAACTACTCAGGGAAACTACTATGGACACAGGTCAACTTGTGGCCCAGGGTTTCTTAAACTTAATGGCAAGGAAATTCTCTGGGGCTCTTGTCAAAATGCAGGTTCTGATTCGATGAATCTAAGGGGGGCAGGGCTTGAGAGTCTTCATTTCTAACAGGCTGTGAAGGGATGCTGTCACTACCCTCTGGGGACCACGCTTGTTCACAGCGCAGAGCCTGTGTTTAAACCTGACCTAAACTCAGAGCCTGCATGGGCCAAGCAGGCAAGATAAATAGAGGGAGCCGCTGGTGGAAGAGGGGACACGGAGGATGCACCTGAGCCATCCAATGGTCATCCACTCCTCGGCCCTCATCCAGCAAGAGTTCTAGACCAGCGTGGTCTTGTTTCTATGTGAAATCTCCTATTTCTAAACGGGGGTAACCAAGCCAACTTTGTAAAACACTACAGTGCAGAATTGAGTGCTCAGAGCAGTTTTATTTATAATAGCCCCAAATCAGAGACAGTCCAAATGTCTATTATCTGATGAGTGGGTAAATGAAACAGCATCGTAGTACAGTGGAACAGGAATTGGCAACAAGTAATGAAGTACTGACGTGTGCTTTAACACAGAGGCACCTTTAAACAGTAAGTGAGAGGAGTCAGAGACACAGGGACAAACATTGTATGTTTCCACTCAGATGAAATATCTAAAATAGGGAAATCCAGGACATAGGGCTGGGTGTGTGGGGAGAAGGGGGTTGGATAGAGAGTAACCATCAGTGGATTCAGGCCTACTTTGGGGGATTTGACAAAAGTGTTCTAAAATTAGATTGTGGTGAAGGTTGTACAACTCTGTGAATATACTAAAAACCAGCAAATTGTCCACTTTAAATGGGTGAAATGTAGGAAATGTGAATCCCATTTCAATAGAGCCATTTTTAAAAACATGTAGAAGAGAACTGGCTTCTTTAGTATGTAAAGTGCAGTTACAAATCAGCAAACCCCAGCAGGAAAAAAAAAAAAAAACACAGAGAATATGAACAAACAGTTCACAAAGGAAAATTTTTCTGCTTCTTTTTTCTCTTTCTAATTAGTTTCTTTTAGTTATACATAACATTTGGGTTAGTTTTAACATGATTATACAAGCATGGAATATGATTCGATCTAATTTGGTCCCCTGTACTTCCCCTCTCCCTCCCCTCTGTTACTTCTCTCAACTATTGATTTTTCTGCTATATATTTGTAGGTTTTTTAAGTTAGTGCCTTGTGGATGTGCATAAAGSTGAGATTCACTGTGGTATATTCATACACATCATAGGGAAGTTACATCAGGCTCAATCCCCCATTATTCCCATTTTTGTCTGATGGTTCTTAAATACATTTWAAAAATCCCTCTTGCTCATAACAAAAGATGTACTAGTCAAGGCAACTCTGAGATTTTCTACCTTTGAGATCAGAAATACCATAGTCTCCCCGGTCTCCCTCTTACCAAAGGAGATACGTTTCAGGGCCTCAGTGGATTCCATGGACAGCACCAGATCCTATAATTTAATGTCTTTTCCATCTTAACTAAGCACTTTTAGGGCACTCTGACCCAAACTTTTGTAATTTGAGTTGTGACAGCAAAACTAGCATGAGTTCCTTTCTTTCTTTCTTTTTTTTTCTTCACAGTTCAGTGGTCTATCTGTTGCAACTTGTCCTGGTGTTGGTTTTCATTTATTTTTAATTTCTTTTGCATGAAGTATTATTTTAAAACTGTTCTTACCATAGATTTTAGCAACCTCAGCCTACTTTTCTTTTCTTATTGAGAACTTCCATCTTTTCATGTAAAGGAAGTACTCTTTGGCTTTTCTTTGACATATCTGAATTGCTGGTATCACTACTCTTGCACTTTAGGACAGTATTAGGTAAAATAAGGGTTTCTTGAACAGTCACTTTCATATCTTGGCAGTCAGCCAGATAACCAAGATGACTACTAATTGATAAATGGTAGGCAGCATATACAGCATGGATACACTGGACAAAGGAATGATTCATGTCCAGGGTAGGACAGAGGGATATTTCATCATGCCACTCAGAACAATGTGCAATTTAGCACTTATTTGTTTCTGGAATTTTCCATTTAATATTGACCATAAGTAACTGAAAGTGAGGAAAGCAAAACTACATTAAAGAGGAGATACTATAATTGAGACTGTTAATGGGATGGGGTGTAGCTCAGTGGTAGAGTAAGCACTCGCTTAGCATGCAGTAGGTGGTAGGTTCAATCCTCAGCACCAGGAAAAAAGAAAAAGAAAAAAGGAAAAAAAAAAAAAAAGTAACTCCTGGCCTTCCCTTAGTACTCTACTCCTTGTAGAGCCCCCTTGTCTGTTCTCCGCTGTGTGCATGGAGTTGTCTCCCAGGCTTGCGATTCCTGGTGCTCTGGAGGTGACCTTGTAATCTCTGGATTAGGGACAAAAGGTGTCTGCACACACAGACACAGAATATGCAGGCTGAAGCAGAGGCCATGGGACCCTGTGGGGACTTGTGGACCCATGGATCCTAATCCCCTGTGTTTGCTTCTTGTCCTCTAGGCACGCCCCAAAGGTGAGGGTCTGACACCGTACCAGGGCAAAAAGCGCTGCTTTGGCGAGTACAAGTGTCCCAAGTGCAAAAGAAAATGGATGAGCGGAAACTCCTGGGCCAACATGGGACAGGAGTGCATCAAGTGCCACATCAACGTGTACCCACACAAGCAGGTGAGCCAGCTGCCTGATGGGCGGGGCGGGGCGGCCCAGCCGCAGAGGGTGGGGCATGCTCTGAAGGACAATGGAGGAGACTCTTCCGTTATTGGTCCTCCTTTTGGTACTTGTACAGTGAGGATGAGGCCAGATCATCCATTCTTCCCTTGTTTCACCAGAAATGGGGTGAAGGGGGAGGGACGGCCGCTTCCCCAGGACAGGAATATGATAAAAGTGCAACTTCAGCAAGATCCTGAGAGCTGAGGACCCAGGTGAATTTTAAAACTAATGAATGGGAGTAATGAATGGGGGTGCTGCCCTGAAACCGTTAGGGGGCCAGCAGGGTGCTGCAGCAGGAGGGTCCCCTCCTCTACTCATCCAGTGCACACGTGTGAATGGGGTGGGAAGGGGTTGAGGGCCCTACTAAGGCAGACCTCAAAGGGATAGCCACTCAGAGGAGGTGTTCTGTACCTGGGGATCAAAAGGAGGGGGAGTAGGCCTGTCATAAGTGGGGGGATGCATCCTAGGAAGAGCTCTGTAGGAGCAAATGCTTGAGGCTCTAAGGATTTGGGGTGCTCAAAACCTACATCTGGGTGAAGGAGCAGATGGAGAGGAACAGGGTTGGAGCTAAATGGGAAGGTCACCAGAGCCTGGGGCRGATACGTAAAGGACCCCAAGAACAACAGGACTTTCGACTTCATTTTAAGACGATTAACCCAGGGGGTGTGCAGAGATTGGTCTAGGAAGGGTCCCCCGGGTGGGAGATGGTACTTCTGAGTTGAAATCACCAATATGTTTGGGAACAGTGCCCCACCCCCCAGGCCAGATGGGCCTCGATTTGCATCCCAGTTCCGTCACGGAGGACCTGGGTGTGCTGTGTTTGCTGGACTCCCAGGCACCCTCTAAGACTTTCTATCTGTTCTTTCTCAGACACCCCATGGGGTACAACTTGTTTCCCCACTTCACAGAGGGGGAAACTGAGGCATGGGGGTGTAAGTGACTTACCCAGGATCAGGAGAGAAGCTGGGATTCATGAAGAGGGAACAAGTCTAGGGCTGGAGGACAGCAGGGGACCTGGCAAGGTAGATGGGACCTGGGAGTAGTGAGGGGAGCAGGGAGAGCAGGCCACCCTGGCTGGCTGGGGATGGGAGATGGGATCAAGCCAGGCCCAGCTTATCACCTACAGCAGGTGGGACCTGGCTCTTAGCATTGGCTCTGTCTCCTCAGTCGCTGTCCTGTGTCCTGCTGGCCTCTGTCCCTTCCCACCATCCCTGGGCCTGCCCATCACCTCCATCTTACCTGCACAGCCAAGCACAGCCTGAGTGACCACCCCACCTCCATCTCCATCCACAGGATTGGAGCCTTCAAGGGCCCAGTCTGGAAGGATCTCTCCAGGGCCTGGGGCTCCCCCTGCCCTCTCTCAGTCACTCAGCCAGTGTTTGTGGAGCACCTACTGTGTGCGCGGGAAGACTGAGGTCCGGAGAGGAGATGGGTCTTGAGCAGGGCACCCAGCCAGCATGGAGGGTCCTGGACCAGTTCTGTCTCCCTGGTCTACTCTCCTGGGCCTTTGTGCTTCTCAGTAAGTCACCAGCCGGGAGCAGGCTCTGGGATAGCACCCCTCCTGTCTTTCCAGCAGGCGGGAGCCTTTGGTGAGCTGAGGACAGGGCAGAGCTCCTCCCTCTGCCCCCAGTGGAGGGTTGTGGTGGATTTCTCCCACCCCGCCCCCGCCCTGACCATGCCACAGTCCCTGAGAACCCTGCGCCACCCGCCCCAGCCACATCTGTTTCCTGTCAGGCTCCAGCTGTGGCTGCCCCTGCAGACCYTGCCCCCCCAGGAGAAGAAAACACTAAGGGGCCTGCCTCTCGCAGGGGCGGGGCGACTGCGCAGGTCAGTCCCAGCTGCTGCATGCTTTCCCCTCCCTCGAGGGGAGTCATCCTGACAGCTCCCCCTAGCGCCCCCTGGCAAGCAGGCCAGGGCCGGGCAGCCAGGCCAGGGCCCACGCAGGGAAGCAGCACCAGCAGGTCATGGCCAAGGAAGGAGGAGCACAGGTCCGATGAGCTGGGGGCTGGGGYTGGCCAGGGACTCTCCGGTTCCCCTGCCCCCAGCCTGCCCCTAATCCTGCATAATACTAATGATCATACATGGTATTAGTACTGGCCAACATTTCAAATGCTCTCCACATACAGGCACCATTCTCATCACTTTACATACCTTATGTACCCCTCAAACAACCCTATCAAAAGTAGATGTTCTTGTGCCCTGTTTTATGGAAGAGAGGACTGAGGCACAGAGAGGTTAAAGTAACTTTCTTATGGCCACACAGCAATTACTAAGTTTTGCAGAGCTCTTTATGGGTATCAAATTCTTTAAGACAGTCATCTCATTCACTTCTCTCTCTCTCTCTCTCTCTCTCTCTCTCTCTCTC